TTGTCTTTAGGCTCAGGGGAGAAATAGACAGAGCAGCTCATCTTCAGGGTGCCTCATTTTCCTGATAGGGGATGCATCTTTTTGCCGCTGTAGTGCCTTTTGGGGTTTTAGACAGCTTTTGTGACCCTGGAAATAATTCATTGGGAAATTTACAGGAAGAGAGATGGGGTGGCAAAGGTGTGTGTCCGAGAAGGATCTTGCCTCTGGCAGTGGCGTTGTTGGAAAAAGGGCAGAGAAAGTGTGTGTGTGTGTGGGGATTAAACACAAACTCCAGCCTGAAGTATATCAAGAGTGAATCACTTCTTTTCTTCTTCCTGGTTAACATTTCTCACAATCTCTTGTTGTATGTACAGTGGATACCATAAAAATCAAACATCTTTCCCTCCTCTTCCCAGCCCACCCCTAGCTAAAACAGAAAATAAGAGCCCCATCCTTCTTTGTCTGTGGCTCTGGCTAAGCCCAGCACCTGAGGCCATGCAGTAGAAAGAGATGCTAACTCACCGTTTGGAAAGCTGTTTCATTTACTCTTCCTGCCTCCTCAGTGCCTACTCGAGGATTTTGACAGCCTGCAGAGCATGGCAGGTGGCTACTGTGGGTGCATCTTTGTCTGTAGTTCAGTCAAATTTACTGGAGGAAAAGACAATAAATTCTTTCAAGGCAAAAGTCCTTATTTACTATATATCTGTTCACAACCCCTGATTTTGCCTAAATTTCCTCTTCCTTGCTTCTGTTACTTTCACCCTTCCTTTCCATGACTGCCTTTGCTGCTTTTCCTCCTTGGATGTAAAAATGCAGACTGTGTTGACTTGTCACAACCCATAGAGAGCTCCCCAAGCACCTCAGGCTCCTAGTAAAAACAATGTACCAGGATCAGAGGGCACTGGAGGCCCCCAGCCCATTTGTTTTGAGTGATTAGCTATGACCTTTCTTAATATCCATGGTGTTCATCTCCATTCTTCCACTTGTGAGTTAGGAGGTTATCAGTGACTTGTGATAGCAGGATGGGCAGAGCAAGCTGATGCTACAAGGAAGGTTGTGTGTCTAGCTGTAGCTCTGCTGTCTTGAACGTGTCTGTACATATCTAACAGCACTGCATTTCCCAGTAATGACAGCTCACGTTCCTGGGAGCTGTCAGAGGATGAGCTGGCCACAATGCTAATGAAATGCGCTCAGCTCAACCTACTTTAGAGAAGACATGAGCAAGGCTAAGGTGGATGGGGAGAAGGTGGATTTTGGTGCTGGAAAGTTGCAGTGTAGTGAGCAAAGTCCTGATTCCCTGAAAGCGTTCAGGAGTTTGGTCATTGTCTTGTGTTAGCAGAAAATATACGCTGGGACTATGGAGTTACTTTTACTCTGCTGTCCATGTAAGTCAGGCAGTTGCTGCTGAAAAGCCACCCTTCATCTTTTCCTGGCACAGCAACGTGATGGGTATCAATACGATTTCCTGTAAAGGCTGAGAGCCAGCCTGGCAGCCCACCTCTCATCTCTCATCCCAGAGGCTAATGACTGTCCCAAGCTGCAGCACTGTATGGCAACAAACAGGGAATGGAGAGAGGGGAAAATGGAGGATAAAAGAGAGGCAGCTGGGTGTGGGTAGGGAAAGGAATTTGGAGCAGGAGCTAGAAAGGACATCTGGGAGCCAGATTCTTCTCTTTGAGCACATTGCAAGGAGCTGGCTTAGGCAAAAGAGAAGCATTTTTATTTCCTCGCTGTGACCTGCAAAATGTGATAAGAGTAGGTGATCTAGGTTGTAGAAAAAGGTGGCATCTAGGGAAATTATTGTGCTTTTCATGACTTCTAGCTTGGTGAGCAATCTTACGTCCTTTCCTAGCCCAGTGAGGCAAACTTTGAGGCCATGCATTGCCGTCTACGCTGCATGTTCTGTAATGATGCCCCTTGAGGTTTTGTGGGGGGACCTGTGGCAATGACTAGTATTGGGTGGCAGGACTAGCAAAATTAAAGCCAGTTTTCATCAGAACAGAGTGGATTGACAGGGCTCAGGAGTGGATTACCATCACAGCTGCTCTGACTGCACACCAGGAATTCAGGAGTGGGCAAACAAGCCAAGCAGTGAAGCTCTCTGCTGTTTTTCTCTCTTTTGTCTCACAGCAGGAACTGAGCCAAGGGATAGGAGTGTAGGTGTTGCAGAAGTTCACGTGTGTGGATAGTCTCTGGCATGTGTAATTTGTTGGACTGGGTTGGCTTATGTTTGCTTTTTGTTGAACTTGCATTGGCCAGGCCAAGGATAGCATCCTTTTTCTTTTTAAACCAGTTTTTCCATATTCTGCTCACTGAAAGGGAGGGAGCACAAGCAACATGTCTGCAACAATGCCATAAATCCAGAGAGAAGTAGAATTAGGAGTTCTTTCTGGTTCTGATGTTTGTATCTGTGAGGTCATGAGCTTAACCAGTCTGTGTTCTTCAGAGCAGAGCCATGCCTGTGCGAACCTGTTGTGCCTTGGGACCTGGTGCTTGGGGTTTGTTCCAGAGCAATATCATAAAATTTTTATAGCAATGTCATGATGAAGAGCATGAGAAGAGAAGTAGCTTCACCCTCTTGCTAAAGTTAGCTTTGCAAATTTTACTCTTGTTTCTATGTGCAACAAATCCCTTGGTTAGATCTGGAGCAATGTGGGGAGAAAAAGATTTGTGGAGATGAGGAAGAGAGAGCAAGCAGAAACCTGTCTTTGTGAGGATTACCTTTTATTAAATGTACTTAAAGTCCAGTCAAAAAAGCCCTTACACACATTAGTAGTGTTATTCGTTGGACTGTCATACTGCCTTGTGCTCCAGCATTTGTAGAACTGGACTCTTAATCTATGTTGATTATGTTTTAATTGAATAACTAAATCTTTTACAGAATGCAGAAGCAATAGAGATGTTTCCATGCTATTTTATTTTTCCAGGCTTCCAAAGGACATTTAACTTTTACAATCTTACAACTTGTTCTGCAGCATTTGCTAGTCAGCTGTTGCATAATTGTTCTGGGGAATGAGAACCAGGGAATAATATGGCCCAGAAATGCTAAGAGGCAGAAATGAAATTGGCTGATCTTCTCATCTGCCACTATCCCTACTCTCCAGGATCAGAATGCTGAACAGGCCATGTGCGGACTCTGGTTCTATTTGTGGGCCTGCCTTTGACTTGATGTATCACCTCAAATGTTAGGGCCTTGGGTGCCCTTCGCATCTCCCACCCTTCTCCAGGCTGGCTTTTGGCTGCTTGTCTTAAAAATTCTCTGAAGTGGAGCAATCTTAGGTTTTGTGTCTTGGAAGCCTGTGGCTGCTGTGTAATTATAGGCCGGAAACTGGAAGGTGAAGAAGAACCAAGAAAGAGCCATGAACTGCACTAATAGTGGAAAGGAAACTGTAATCTTGCAGATTAAAAAATCCAGGTGACTACAGCTATCCAGGAATAATGGTCTGGGATAATTCCTGTGAAAAGTATTTCTTTTTTTGAGCAACAGCTTGGATGGAAAATCTTGGCTCTATAATAAAAATAGGCAAGAAGTTGAGTTTGTAAGTAGTTTCTAACCTGACTCTCAGCCTTTTAAGTGATGTGTTCTTGCATAAAGCACATTGGAGCTTCCACTTTCTTGTTAGTCAAGACAAATTTATTGTAATGCAATAAGATTTAGTAATCATTAGGAACTAATGAATGCCTCAGCACGTATAAGCTTGGCAGATCAGAGCCTGCTTGCTTTGCATAGTCGGTCTCTCTTTGACCAGCCTGCCATTTATGTGTTGGATTGATGACTGGGGAGTTCGTAAAACAGATAATGATTGAATGGTTCTGAAATGAAATTTAAATAAAAACTATGTGTGAACTAGTGAGACAAAGGAGAAGGTAAATTTTTGGCTTGGAAAATAGAAGTAACTTGGTTGAGAGTGAAGGCAAACAGAGCTGGGTTGTTTCTGTGGAGGTGCTATTATGGTCTGAACAGGCTTTCCAGCTGAAGTTAGGTGAGCTGTTAGGTAAATCTTTAGTGTTTTTGCTATTGTAGCAGTCAAGCTGTGAATGAGATCTTCTGCACTAAACTCTGTGGTTGCATGTATACCAGAGAGACTCTGTCTAGGGAATTTGCAGGTAAGTCAGAAATGGAAGGACAAAAGAAAAATTACTCAGGATTAGAAAAGACTTCCAGTGTGTAGTATTTCACTTGTCTCAAGAACTTTGGTTTTCCCTTCCAAGAGAGCATCCCTATCTTGAGCACAAGTGGGGCTGTGCTGTTTTGAAAACAGAAAGAAAGCAAGATGTTTTGAATCAGAAAGGGTCCTGCCTGTATGTTCATACTTGTTCTGGGCATGGGCTTTCCTGACTAATAGCCTTTTTCACAAGGACCTTATTTATGTTACTTTGTGATTGCTTATCACAAATCATGCCACTCACCTTGAATCTGCTAGAAATGAATTGAACTTTTTCATTCCTCCTTGGAGGAGCTCATTTTTTAGATGAAAATTGTGAAGAAGTTTTGAATCATGCAGGTACAGCCACCACAAATTGATATGAAATAATAATAGGTGCAGTTGGCCAGGTGCTGGCCACTGTGGCTTGCAGCTCTGCTGTTTTTGCTTTGCCTGGGATGGCGACATGGCAGAAGAGAGGCTCTCAGAATCCTGGTGCTTCAGGTCTGTCCCCATCTTTGGCTGCCCAGCCAGGCATCTTTCTAAAATACATCTTCTCCATCTGTGGGAGTGGAGACTGTCCTGCCTCTTCACCTTGGCAGCAGATTGCACACTGAGTTGCATAATCCTCCAAGTCAATTTAACACAATAGGACCATTGTGGGAATAACATTAAGAAAAAACCCAAAGTAGCCTAAATCCTTGTTAGATTGAGGCTAGCTGCTGGTTCTGGGGGACAGCTACAACATTTCAGCATGTTTCTCCCTGCAACCCAAGAGTTATTGCTGGGCATGGTAGAAGCTCTATTAGGACAATACGAAACCAAGTGGCAGGCCAAGCTGTTTAAAATAACTGGAACTCTGCTTTCTTCTTTCAGGTGAATCCTGGTGGCAAGACACTTGAGGAGAGGCGGTCCAGTTTAGATGCAGAAATCGACTCTCTAACGAGCATCCTGGCTGACCTAGAGAGCAGCTCTCCTTACAAACCTCGGACTCAACAGGTTAGTGGCACATTGCATAAACAGAGAGTGGGAAAGTGGCCAGCATTGACTGCTGGAGTCAATTTGTTAACCGCTTGGTATTTGCTGCAAACAGGCATGCCAGTTCCTCGTGATAGCATCCAGATGTGGCTGTCAATGGAGAGAAGGGCGCAGTCACTCTGAAGGGGGCACTGGCTCAAAAGCTGCCATACCTCTGAGTGAAGGGCCTCTGATCCTGATTGCTAGATTGCCAAAATACTTGCAAAAAATGGTATTTCATTTGCCTTGACTTTCCACCAACAATAGCTTGTGAATTAAAACCTGCTCTGTTCACAAGTACTGTTCGGCTTTTTTTCCCTTGTTGTTTTTCTGTTTTGTTAACTTTTTATGTGTCACACTGCCAGAAAGACCCAGATATCCATGTCTCAAGCTGTTTTCTTTTGTTTTTGTCATCTAATCAGTGGCGATGAAGTGGCTTGGATTGTAGCTCAGCTGTCAGGGTGGCTGTAGCCCAGCAAGGCAGACTGGAATTCGCACTTACTCTGCTGTGTCTAGACAAGGACTGCAGGGGTGACAGCAGCTCAGCTAGTTTTTGTCACTCATCTAGGTAGTGCTTAAGTGGAGCTATTTAAGTTCTGGTGAGATGTGATCTATTTATCAGAGGAAGTATGACACCCCAGTGGCACTTTAAAAAGGGCGGTTCTTGAGATCTTGTAAAATCATCCCAGATGTACTTGTGCCCAGTTGTACCCTGCCTTTGCTTCCTAATCTCAGGACTGGCCTAATTTCTTACTTGTGTATGGGTATGTAGGTATGTGTGCAGCTATATGTTATGTTGTGTTTGTCTTACCGATGTCAGCCCTGAATAAAATCTCAGAAATCAAAAGTACCAAAGGGTAGCTGAGTGATGCGGTCACACCCATTACCAAAACAGGCCTTCTCTTTGGTTAGTGGTTTTTTTTGGTTCTTTTTGTTGTTGCATTTCTTTTAAGCACTTGAGAACCAGTACCTTTGGAACAGAACTAAAGTAGCTTTTAGTTTGTTTAGATTTGCTCTGTTTAAGCGTGTGAGCTTAGCAAAAGCAGAGTTAAATCATATTTGTGCACTTTTGAAAGCATCCATCTGCACACAGAGGCTCTGGCATGGTGACCTGTGTGGTTTCCATCCCTTCTGCGGGGACCTCCTGATAAACTCTTCTTTTATCCTAGCAGCATGTGCACAGTTCTTGCATAAACTTACAGACTTGTCCTTGAAGAACAGTCTGATCTGGGTCAGCCAGTCAAAAAGAGCAACAGTGTAAACCAGATACAATTTAGTCCTTTTCCCAGTGGGTTTTTGTTGTGATAAATGAGACAGTTGTAACAGTGATAGTGCTCAGGCACAATGTCAAATAACCCATGTTCATTCTGTTTGCGTGGGCCAGACACATAAGAATGCATACTGTTACTGAGAAAGACTTTATTGTGTCAAAACACTGGAAGAGATTTTTACTTACCGTTCTCCTTGTCAATGCCGGAGGTCAGCTCCAGCATGTAACTTCTGTAACCTTCTGTAACCACTTTGCTGAGCGTTTGCAGTTTGAGGACAGTACTGCTGACAGTCTCCTGGTGCTTCTTCCTTTGGGATCAGATATTCTGTGAATAGGTTGTTTTTCTTAACTTTTATTCTGTACCTGTAACATTAAAAAAAAAAAAAATCATAGCGTTCAAATAGTTCTGCAGGTGTGCTTCATTTTCTGGAGGATTGGAAGGCATATACCGAGTTTTGGACTTGATCTGACTGTTTAAGTTCATCAGCCTTGAAGATGATGTGTGCTGCTCAGCGCACATGCTTGTTCCCATGGCTTCTTGCCCACAGTTTAGGTGGGGGTACTGAAGACTTGTCCTCCTACCCAGGAGTGATGCTGCTGCTCCTTGGTGCATCACAATCACTGTGTGCGATCCAGTGGGCAGAAGAAGCTGAATTTCATTTCTGAGATTTTCTACTAAAATCCCTACTTTCTTTGTTCAGTTTATCAGACTTTTCAGGATTTATGGGTTAATGTAATGATGTCCTGTGAGAAGTACAGCTACAGCAACTTCTAAGTATAGCTGTTAGAGAAAGAAAATGCTGGAGTTGAATGTATCATCTGCTGTAATTAAAGACTACTCAAGTCCTTGAAAGGTTGAACTAGAATGTAAAGCTTTGATATTTTCCTTTGTTTGATATGTACTAAGTATTAAAACTGGTGAGTCATTTGATAGTCTTATAGTAGGCTAATAGATTAGGCTGCAAATTGTGAGGTACTTACTCAGAACATCAGCATGTTTATTGGATTACACCTTAGATGACCTTCCCAAATTTATCAGGATAATGGCTGCAGGTAGGAAAATAGAGTTATGAGTTGTTTTCAGAGAAGATGTTTCCAGTTGTGCTTATGCAGTTAAAGCATTATAATAATTTTATAGGTATACCTTGCCCTTGGGGGTACTCCTATTCTGCAATAAGAAAAATTTTATGTTAGGTTTCTTTTTTGTATATTATCTTCACGATACTTTTAAAGCAATATAAACTAAACTGTAACATAGTCCTCTTTCACTGAAGTAGGAGTGATAGCAGGATAATGGCAAGCAGTTTATCTAACATACCCTACACACTGGCATAAACTCACAGGGAAGAAAGCTCTTTTGATCCTTGGTATGAGTTCAGGATTGCAATGAGACACACTGCACCACGAGGTGCCTCTGAAGCACAGAGATTTGTACCCTCTGCAGAAGGTTTGAAAAGAATAATTCTCAGACTGGGTGTGCCAGTGTCAACCCCAGACAATTCTCCTTGGCCAGCAGACCTGCTGTTGAGGACATGGATGAGTATGAATCTCTGCACCATCCATGCATTGCTTACCCTGGCATCACTCTGGTAATATATTTTTATGTGCCAGGCAGGTGACAAGGACATTGTAATGAAGTAAAAATGACTGCCATTAATAGAGGGAAAGGAGAGAGAGTTTTGACACCTGTGGTCAGCAGCACCCTCCTTGCACTCAGTGGTTCTGCCTAATTCAAGTCAGCTGAGCTGGAAAATGAAGGTAGAGATAGCATCAAAGTCCTGCTGGCTGCTTCCCATTGCCTGGGCAGAGGTGGTAGGAAGCTGTCCTGCAGAGCTGTTTCCCTCTCCTCTAAAGTGATGAGTTTGAAAAGCATTTTTGCAGCATAGATCCTTTATGAAGGAGAACAGATCTTTTCTCCTCATAGCGGCAGGTTTGATGGGAGGAGGTCCTTCTGGGAATGTGGTACCCCAATATGAGTCAACCACAGTGTTGCTGAACCTCAAAGTGAAAATTCTCTCGGGCTTCATTCCTGGTTAGTTTTTGTCTCTGTCTTGGGGCAGTTGTTGAGAGTACCCTGAGCAGACATTTTCTAGGCATTGGTAGTTTACTTCATATTCACTATCAGCAATATGTGGGTCAGAAGCAGCTTTCAATCACCATCACCTCAACCCTGGGCTGAGCCCATGACTTGCAAGTGAAAGTCTCTTTGACTAAATCATAGGAGAAGTCACAAGTGATTAAGATGCTAGGTGTTTTTCTTTCAAAATTGCACCGATCAGAAAGAGCAGAAAATTACAAAACTAAGTCATCTTTTACTGCAACACAACAGCATCTAAGGGTGCTTTCTGTCATGTGAGGTGATGTAGGGGAGACTGAATTAAAGAAATTCAGCAGTAGCTGAAGGTTTAGAAAATACCAAACATTACCTGATCTTGAACTCATTGGAAAGTTCAGAGGAAGAGAACCCACTATGCCTTTCACTAATAAAAGGAGACCGTATAGACAAGGCATTTAGATGCATAATTTCCATGGATGGGAGCAGGGTGAACTCCGACTAGGGGAGCTGGTGAATGCTGTGGTCATCTGGCTCCTCTGTTAAGGGGTATTTTCCTAAATTTGTACCCATTCTGCTTAAATCCTTGCTTAAGAAATGTGTGCAGCAAGGCCTTAAGCCCATGAGATAAATGTTTGCACCTTTTTGAAAAACAAGAAAACTTTGTGACTCTGGAGAGGGGGCTTCCAGCAGAGGCTGTGAAAATGAAATACTGGAAATAGCAGCATACAAAAACTCAGGTTTTTTTTTTTCACTGCAGATTGTCTGTTCAGTAAAAGAGGACTTTGTGGGAGGTGTACCAGGACTTTGTGGGAAGTGTACAAGATACACCTGGTCCAAGGGTAATTGGTCTTTTTTTTAAAAGCAAATAGTGGGTGGCCCAAATTTATGGAGTATTTAAGAAGCAAAAAGCCCATGATTTGATGGTCAAGATCAAATCTGCTTGGGTACAGCTCTCAGAGGCAGCTTGATCCAGAGGGGACTGGCTGGGCTGGGCTGGCACACGGGAGACCTGTTTCATTCCCAGCTACCACCACTTTGCTAAACGACCTTGAATGTAGCATTTCTACTCTGCTTCCTCTCAAAATCTCTTCTGTCCTTGTAGCTTGGCAACCTCTTCAGTGTGATTTGCCACTTACTACCCATGTATGGCATCTAGGAACTTGGAATCTTGGTCTGGATTGAAGGCCTTTAGGTAACGTGGTTGTACAGATAATGAAAAAGAGAAATAAATTTTATCTTTTATCTAACAGGTGGGGAAAATGAAGGCAAAGTTAGGTGAGGTATCTAGGGATTCACACTTATGTTCCTGCCTCTGTATCATTACCCCCAGTACTAGACATCTGCTACTATGCAACACTCTCAGCCTAAGTCAGCAATATTTTCAAGGAAAAGAAGCTCATTCTCACTGTGAGCTGCAGAACAATAAAGGAGTAAAGAAAATTAAATTTTAAAAAGTGATACATTTTCATTAAATTCCAAACATACTGGGAAGTAATGTCTTCTAGTGACTGGAATTTAAAAAGGATTTAAATGTTTGACAGTGTTGGTTGTTATTCCATCACTTCTTTTGACAACCATTTGGGGATAACAAAAGCAGTGAAAAGGCAATGGACAAATTTTCTTGCGAAGCGATGGGACAGGATTGAACAGTTTCAG